AAAAAAAACCCTAATGCCCGTGACACACACACACACCGGGCGCACTCGGTCTTCCTGTAATAACTGTACACTGAAAACACATCGCTCCCGGAGCACGACTGCATGGGGCTCACAAAATACACCTTACAGCAGATGCCAACTCAGTCTAGCTTTCCAACCACATATCTATCCCATCCTGATGAAGCGAAACGAGCAGTAACAGAGACGCGAAAATAAGCGGTATTGCCTCCTCGACTGCGAATCAGCGCTGAAGTCTATCTCGAAGACATTCAAGCTCTCTGTTTATAGGAAAGCTTCGTTCTCACCAAGCCATAGAAGTGAGTTCCTGCCCATTAGACTGTACAAAAGACAAATGCAGAAACAGAAGATTGGGATTTACGGAGGACGACCCCATTCTTCGGGGGGGAAAAAAACGGGAAAGAGCCCACCATCCACTGGCAAACTCAACGTTTATGCTCTTGGAAAACGCGAACGATGACAATACTTACAATCTTGGCATTAAAATGATCTGGAGGGCGGTAGTTGTTTCGTTTTCTGATGCACATCCGTTTGTTTTTTGGCTGTTTTGTGGGTAAAATACAGTATCTTTTTTCCTCCAATGTTCCAGCTTGAGAATCGACACCCTTACGGAGGCAGGCTGAGGATGAATTGCGCATGCGCTGATTTAGACAGTTCTACTCAGTCGATTGACGAAAGACTTCCTCAGTAATTGTCATTTCCAGTGGAACTTTTCAAGTTGATCTTCCTATAATCAGGCAGCTGAAATAGCACACAATGTGTTGATTAAAACAATACAACAAAACTGTTTGTATAAAGGCCTTACATTACTTGACTTTTATGCAGCCTATCTTGATAATAATTTCCCTTTTATGTCTTCTCTCTAATATATGTGAATAACCCTAGCATTCTACCCAACTTAAATGTGTTTATGATATTTTTACAAGAACATAACCGTTTATTGAGGATTTAAATATGAGGATTTAAATGACACAGAATGTGTATTAATCTAACCATCATTATTTCATAGATCATTATCATGTCTTTATACAAATCTTGTAAATATCCAGCAGGGGACGCCAAACACTAAGGTAAAAAAACACATCACAAGAATCCCCCAACAGCAATTCTGCAAGATTCTTGAAAATAGAAATGTTCACTATTAAAAAAAAATGCAACTCAGCAGTGTTAATACACACGTTTTATTACTTCACATAATCTACATTAGTTTTATTGCAAGATTCCGTATCTTTTTACAGATAGAGTGCCGCATTGCTACACCAGACTCTTGTGAACCATGAAGTACTGCATCTCTCTTTATAAAGCTCCACAGTTACTTCAGCAGTTACAGGGTGAGACATACTATAGGAGATGGTTGAGGGTTACGAGGGGACACCTGTGTGATGGCCACTTGGTGTCAGTAAAGCTCTCTGCCTCTTTGTAGGGCTGAAACCCCTAAGAAGCCCGCAGTTTGATTTATCATATGACTAAATGCTTATCCCTCCAAAAAGCACCTACTTTGCTGGGCATTTAGTTAGTAGGAGCAGTAAGAATGTCTTTAAAAAGCATTTGGTAGTTAAATTCCTTTTAGGTATAATTAATGATAGTCTATGTTGTTAAGGGTACAGGCAATTTTCTCTCCCCACTTAGCAGCTCAGCCAGGAGCGTAGATTACGCGAGGGACCCGCACTTTTTTGGGCAAGTGTGTTCGCATAGAGGTTTTCAAGAGCCGGTGTGAATAAATATAGATTTAAATTCAAAGATACAGGATAGTCTGTGCATGATCTGATGTTTTATTCGGACCCAGAATAAGTCGAGATGAACATCGCGGAGCGCTAAACACTCTGTGCAGTTTTTGTTTCATTCATACTCGAAGCCGGAGGGCGCTCTCACTCAGAAAGTCGTACCAGGAAATTCCTAATATGGACAAAAGCGTCCAGCTCTTGCTGTATGTCAGCTAATTGTGTTATCTGCTTCCTGTCATCTTCGGCTTCATCCCCATCTTTAATATAAGAGACATGAAATTGACCAATCTTTCATACTCTCTCCATGTTGACATAATGACTTTAAACCATAAATAAGTTGAATTCTGATTTTGTTTACCTGCCTCTGATGAGGAGAACCAAAATGTTCACTCAGAGTGAAAAGGTGTATTCACACCAAGGACAATAACTATAATGATAAAGATATAATTTTTTTTAATAGTTCTGAATTTAAAAGAATAGCAGAGTCCACAACTACAATGATAATGGCTCAAAGGAACAATATTAATGAAATCACTTTCAGAACATGTTTTTCATTGACAGTCAATTAGAATCCATCCTACTTTAAAGAGCTAGAGCAAAACAAAACAAAACAAAAAAAGAACCATCAGATAATGAATGAGAACTTTAGGGGAACGTTCTGTGTTTTCTGGGAGAGTCAACAACACAACTATAGCGATAACGACACAGAGAAATATAATTGGAATCACTTTCAGAATTATTTTTTTTATTGACAGCCAATCAGAATCCGTCCTGCTTTAAAGGAGACATATTATGCCCCTTTTTGCAATATGTAATATAAGTCTCAGGTTTCTCCAGAATATGTCTGTGAAGTTTCAGCTCAAAATACCCCACATATCATTTATTATATAATTTTGAAAATGCCTATTTTGAGTGGAAGCAGAAACACGCAGTTTTTCGGGCCTGTCTCTTTACATGCAAATGAGCTGCTGCTCCCCGCCCCCTTTTCCAGAATAGAGCTGCGCCATTACAGCTTGTACCTGCTAAAGACATCTGTTTTGGTTCTGATTATCGTGTTTATTGCGCTGAAATCATGCGTTTTTTTATCCATATTAGTTTAAACCTCTGATATACAGTTTTCTGAGCGCACACATCCGAAGCACATGGACAGCAAGCGGCTGTCACAGCAAGTGAGTACTAAACTAAGTTCTCATTCACACACAAGTTTACCTTAAAAACACACGAGTTACAAAAACAG